GTTCTTGCGTTCGGATGCTGGTGTTTGTGAACAATCTTGTGAGACGCTTCTGGGAGGGAATTAAACCAAATCATTCTGCTGACCGACTTTGGCTCAGAGATTTCATAATGATGATCAAACCAACATTTGAGATGCTGCGATGAAACTGGATAACTGGACTAACCAGAAGATGTTGAGTCACGTGAGATTTTGTTGTGCATCGAGGGATTTATCCAGTAAATGTGTTTCCGTCGTAGTTTATGCGCATGTCTTCAGTCTTCTTATCACATAAAAAACGTAGCCTCCTCAATTGAGCGCACATGTTTTTTATGCACATTTTTAGAATTTATGCGCATCTTGGTGTTTCCATCCAGCGTTTTTAGGCGACATCCCAAAATGTGCAAAAATAGATGGATGGAAACCACTATTGTGAGAAGATGGGTCTTAAAATCGTAGTCACTGTTGAAAAGGGTTTACTTGCAGAAGATGCTAGAAACCCCAAGAATGTGAGGAACCTGGAGGGTTTTTCTGAAGAACAGTGCTCAGGACAAACAAGGGCCTCGTGAACAACTGTCACAAAACCCCAAAACAGTCGTTGATCATCAGCTAACAAATCACAATATTAAGATTCAAGGGTATGGAAACTTTTGAACTGGTTAATTTGTTTAAATTCAGTTATTTTGTTTTGTGGACTATATAACATCTGTTATGTTAAATGGCTTATTTAGGACGGTACTAAATGAAAAAAAACTACTTGCAATTTTTATGATTATTTTGTTAACGTTATTTTTAGTTATCTTATCAGCAGAACTGTATATCCTGAAAATCCTTTTGCGCTCTTAAAAAAAATATTATGAAATTAAAATTAGTTGCAAATTTCTTTGACATTTTCTTTGAATGCAAATGTTATTTGTCTAAAATTACAATAATGCATCAAATTTGGCATTAGATGTAGTTTAATGCAACATTGAATTTGTGATTTAAAGTAAATACTAATATTAAAGTCGGCATGAAGCGAAAGTTGAGAGTGTTTTCCTCCGTATTGTGATGTGAGTATATGAGTGAAATGGCTTCTGGAATCTGGAATAGAAAATAAATGTTGTCTGGGACTTGATCTCCTCTTTCGGGAATTGATTGGATGGTAGTTGGGCGTTGCTAACTCAATGGAGGCAGATCTGAATGTCAGTTGTGGAAAGATTTAGTGCCACCCTTCGTAGAGGCAAATCGTTTGGAGGGGAGGGAGGTTAAAAAATATGATGTGCATTGATAAATCATTTATAATAAGCACTGCAACATTCTATTAAAAAATAAGAATGTATGTTTTTTTTTTTTTTCTTGGTAACTTTAAACAAATGGGGTTTTTTTTAACAAGGATTAACCGTTCATGCAGCACATGAGCACAAGATGTGATTGGTTGGTTACATTTGAATGGTATTTTCAGTAAACATGGCACATGTGTCTCTAAAAGCAAATAAACCCCTTTTAAAAACACGTCTGCTCTTTTACCTCCATAGGATCCAATCAATCACAGTCCCATTGTTCTGAGGGGCTTCGGTCTGTAGTGAGATATTGCCCCGCGAGTTCAAAGGTGCCCCGTAAATTGTGGGATCCTCAACAATTAATCTACACATGCAACAGTTCAAAGAGACCTCTACTAAATCTAGTCTAACCTCAGCCTGATAGACTTACTCACTGAATGAGTGTCTCAATCCCTTCACTTTTGTTGTCTTTCAAGGCTAATATCTGCATTCGCATTTCAGATAGCTAAAATCTTTTGTTTCGGTGTTCTTGTAGTACAATTTGACTGTTTTAGCAACATGATTTGGATTGATAATGAGTATTTAACTTGTATATAGCTTTTCTTGCGCTCAAGACATGTGCGAGTAGGAAGGTTTAGTGTGAATGTTGCCCCGAAGGGATCTGTGTGATCATAAATCAGCCTTCATTAGGTCTAGAGAAGGGGGAACCCACTGATTTACAGTGAGGAAGTGACACTAAGCCCCATCAAAGCCTCTAGTGTGGAACAGAACATCGTGGAAATGGCCTCTTTAGTACTATGAGTCTTTTTCAGAGTCAGTTTTACTAAGTATTAGTAGGTGTCATGCAGTATTTGAGCAACTAAATTATGTTACTGTGTTACTAACCTCACATCTGTGTGGCAATGGGCTAGTTCAGCTGTGTTCAAAAGTGTGTGTTTTCAGTAACAAGCTCTCTTATGTAGCATCTGGGGCCAGTTGTTCAAAACATTTAATCTGGATCAAAATGATCCGGATTTGGAAATCCCATTTTTTCCTATTCAGTATCAGGTAATCCGTCTTACTTTTATGCCGGTTTTTCAAAGCAACATTGGACTGGATCACCCTGATCCAGATACACAGTTTTCAAGGTTACCAAATCCGGATTACCAGTGCTCTAAATGGGACAACATATCACAATGTGGGCTACCAGCTGTGTAAAGAACAGGTAGAAGAGCCAACATGGGGTCACTGTAAGTGTTTCTTATTTTGAGACGAAACCCAAAAAGAATATGAACATCCACTTCCATTAATAATTTCTTTTATGACCCCTCATCTGAGCCACAACAAATAAAAAACAAATATCCCTTAACAAATACATTGTGGATATTTTGAAAACATCTTAAAAAAATGGCAAAATTTCCAACTAGGAGGAGAGACCAGCATATATTATATATATATAATATATATTATTTTTGTTTGTTATTGAAATCTGTTTGGGGGATTATTTCATGGGGACAAGATCATTTTTATTTTTACTGATATATGTCTACTTTATCTACTTTATCACTGTTACACAAGTCAAGTGCAAAATATAAATAAAAGTGTACAATGATACAAATGTATTATTTGACCAAGTTTAAAGTTTTACTACATTTTCTTCCTGGAATCCACCTTGAAATCCTATCCCCTGTTGAATCAGGATAAATCCTGTTTTTTTGGATCAAAGTTCTCCATATCCTACTGACAAGTTTTGAACAACACAAACTGAAGGTTTGATCCAGATTAAAACTAGGATTGGATTCTGTGATCTAATCTGATTTCAGATTCCTCCTTTCCCTTTTGAACAACCCATTTTCAAGATTTGATCCAATCTGATAACCAAAATCCGATCAGCTTTTGAACAACTGGCCCCTGAATGTCTACACAGACAGTGTAGATATACTCTACTATAGTAATGACCGCAACTTTCACGCGTAATTGATTGACAGATTATCCGTGTGCTTCTATTTCAGTGTTAAATTGTGGATATTTTCAGCAAACCGTTTGCTTCGTACATTCAGTTTAACAGCATTAAAGAGGGTTTGTTATTCATATGAACAGTGTATGCAATTTAAACACATCATGTTCTTCGTTCATGCAATAAAATGCACGTCCCTGAATGAGCGCGGTTTTATAGCGTATTTAATTCAACAGCTCAAGTGAAAATAATGGTATGACCCATTTCAGGGGTGGCCAAAACTACAATTAATTATCAGTCAGAGCTAGAAACGTATCTTGATGTTAACTGGTAAGTTTTGATGTCCTTCAGGGGGGATCAAGCCTTCTTTAGGGGGGTCAGACCCCCCCATAATTCACACCCTGGCCAGAGGCATTATTATTAATATTTCACCGAGGTCAATGCTGTCACACTACTTGGGATATTTCATTAGTTTACAAGTTACGTCATATGTAGCATCAGAAAGTCCAATTCATTCTAATAAATGTTTTTTCTTCCTTCCTTCCTTCCTTCCTGACTTCCTTCCTTCCTTCCTTCCTTACTGACTTCCTGCCTTCCTGACTTCCTTCCTTCCTGACTTTCTTCCTTCCTTCCTTCCTTCCTTACTGACTTCCTGCCTTCCTGACTTCCTTCCTTCCTTCCTTCCTTCCTTCATGACTTCCTTCCTTCCTGACTTCCTTCCTTCCTTCCTTCATGACTTCCTTCCTTCCTTCCTTACTGACTGACTTCCTTCCTGACTTCCTTCCTTCCTTACTGACTGACTGACTTCCTTCCTGACTTCCTTCCTGCCTTACTGACTTCCTTCCTTAATGACTTCCTTCCTGACTTCCGGCCTTACTGACTTCCTGATTTCCATAATTCACACCCTGCCCAGAGGCATTTTTATTAATATTTCACCGAGGTCAATGCTGTCACACTAATTGGGATATTTCATTAGTTTACAAGTTACGTCATATGTAGCATCAGAAAGTCCAATTCATTCTAATAAATGTTTTTTCTTCCTTCCTTCCTTCCTGACTTCCTTCCTGCCTTCCTTCCTTCCTGACTTACTTCCTTCCTGACTTACTTCCTTCCTTACTGACTTCCTGCCTTCCTGACTTACTTCCTTCCTTCCTTCCTGACTTCCTTCCTTCCTGACTTACTTCCTTCCTTACTGACTTCCTGCCTTCCTGACTTCCTTCCTTCCTGACTTCCTTCCTTCCTTCCTTACTGACTTCCTGCCTTCCTGACTTCCTTCCTTACTGACTTTCTTCCTGACTTCCTTCCTTCCTTACTGACTGACTTCCTTCCTTCCTTCCTGACTTCCTTCCTGCCTTACTGACTTCCTTCCTTACTTCCTGACTTCCGGCCTTACTGACTTCCTGACTTCCATAATTCACACCCTGCCCAGAGGCATTTTTATTAATATTTCACAGAGGTCAATGCTGTCACACTAATTGGGATATTTCATTAGTTTACAAGTTACGTCATATGTAGCATCAGAAAGTCCAATTCATTCTAATAAATGTTTTTCCTTCCTTCCTTCCTGACTTCCTTCCTGCCTTCCTGCCTTCCTGACTTCCTTACTTCCTGACTTACTTCCTGACTTACTTCCTGACTTCCTTCCTGACTTCCTGTTATTGTGATGTGATTCACATAGGGACAGAGTCTGTATTTTATGAGAGATCTAATTTTTGCTGGGGTTTTTTTTTACATAATCACATGGTCAAACTTCTCGAACACACAAAACTAATGCTTTGATTGGTATTATTATTGTTATTGAGCCGGTACTTCTCCTCATTTCCTAGTCGGATCAGCCCAGCCCGGCCAGCTCCAGTTCCAGTTCCAGCTCTGGCTTTGGACGTCCACACAAGCGGCAAGGTAACCTTTCAAATATCTACCAAATCCTGTTGATTGGTTAAAGTCTGGGTCATTTGAAGCCTCTTTTCTTTCCCACAGAGTGCATTTTACTAGCCATGTATTGGTTTATTTTACTAATATTAATTAAATATGACTGAGGTTGTGTATGCGTTGCATCTTTTGACATTACACTAAAGAAAGAAAAGCTTCTTTAGACATTTGCCTTCCTTATTCACCTGTAGTTCTGGGTCCTTTGCGGTCGGTGATCCCAGATTTGCACTCGGATGAAAACGAAGAGGATTCTGAAGAGGAGGATGACAATGACATGGACTCGGACTTAGAGCGACCGTTACACACGCAAATGACACATCGTCACCGCAGGTACATATCTATGAAAAACTTCCAATTAACCCTGGATGCAGACGAAAAAAAATCTATTTTCTATATTATATCCATGCCTGCATATCATGCTGTGTAGCTGACGTGAGGACACTCGGATGGGGATAATGAATGGTGAATATCTGTCACGTATTTCGCAGGGTGAGTTTAAGTGACGGCAGTGACAGTGAAAATAGCTCTGCCTCTTCACCACTGCCCCATAATGACCCCCCACCTCTACTGAAATCCACCAATAACCAGGTGAATCATTCTATTCCTGTAGTCCTGATTTCACACTTCCATTTCAACTTTTGTGCTTATCAAGAGCAATGAGGAGAAAATTACAGTATATGTGGAGGAAAAGGAAATTGAACTGTCAATAGACTATAGAACTGCTTGAGTGAGTGTATGTGTGTTGTATGGTGTTAAAACTGGTTTGATGTTATAATAAAAATATTTATAAAATAAATGTACACAGCCATCCAAAAGTTTGGGGTCAGTAAGTTAATTGAATGTAAATTAATGCTTTTATTCAGCAAGGATGCATTAAATTGATCAAAAGTGACAGTAAATATATTTATAATGTTGCAAAATATTTCTATTTCAAAAAATGCTGTTCATTTGAACTTTCTATTCAACAAAGATTAATGGGTAACGCTTCTTTTTACAGTCCTGTTACCAGGGGCGCAACTACCCCGTGTCAGAGGGGTATGCAGCAACAATTATTGTGCCCCTGACCCCCCCCCCCCCCCCCCCCCCCTCAAAAAAAGAAAAATAAATAAGTGTGCCATGCAATATGTAGTGTGCCATGTAGTAGGAACGAGTGAGAGCTAACAGATAAAAGTGCAAAATTGTTATTTATTAATACAATTAATATATAGCTACTCCACCGTGATGAACCCCCCTAAAAAACTATAAGCTCCATTGGAACAGCAATACCAGTGTTTCTCACAGGATCTTAGGTAAAACTGTGGTAGGTGGACCTCTGTTTCTCTAGGGGGGTTCGGGGGCATGCCCCCCCCCCCCCCCCCCCGTAAGAAAATTTTGTGTTCTTTAATGTTAAATTCAGCAGTCTGGTGCACTTTGAGAGTTCAAAATTAAAAGCTCGAACCCATATTCAGGGTGCAAATTAAACAAAGAAAAATTCAAACCTCTTTTAGTTAGTGTCTGTCTACATTACACTACTACATAATAATAGTTATAATATTAATCCCATGATAGTAATAGCCATAGGCCTATATTGTAAAACAAATGCACTGAAAAATAAAGGAAACTTTCACAATTAGTTTTGTACTAATTTCTATACTTGAAAGATATAAGCACATGATGAAAAAAATGATGTGTCAGAAAAAAAAACTAACACTGACTTTTTTTGACCAATGCATTACACCGGCACTAACCCAGCGCCGCCAATTAAGCAAAAAAAAAAAAAAAAACGAATGGGCCGCCGATGTACGAGTTTTATGGGCCGTTAAGACAAAAAAAAAAAAAAAGTATGAGATGTATCGGCCGAAAAAGCACGTCGGCCCACCGGGAATCTCCCGGTAGTCCCGATGGCCACAGAGATATAGATAGCCTACATGCCTGGCTGGATGTCACACTTTAAATCCTACCTGGTGGCTTTCAGCATGCACTTATTTAGCTGCTGTCGCATCAGTTGACATGCCATCTCCTTTTCCCGCTTTCTTTTTCTATTTTTAGCCCCACAGCATTTTGTTTTATCCATCTTTTTCGACGACAACTCACTACTCGTACCTGCTCGCTCAGCGCTCACGGCGCCCCGGCCCGCTCGCGATATCACCCCGCCCCCCTTCTCCATGAGGGCGCCTACTCTAGCCTGTTAGTCCTCTAAAATTTTATATAACAAGAAATGCAGAAATTATTTAAAAAACGCACAACAGCAGTACAATATATATATATATATATATATATATATTTTTTTTTTTTTATGAATTTTTTTATTTATTTTTTACCATCGCTTTGGCGCCCCCCATGGTGCTGCGCCCCTATGCGCCGTATATAGCGCATACCCACTTTTTGCGCCATGTACATACTATGTACTTATAGTAATTACTAGGGCTGTCAGTTAAACGCGTTATTAACGGCGTTAATTTTTTTATCGTGCGATTAACGGCCTTTTTGGCCTAGCAAACTTTGTAGTTTTTTTCACATGCTTTTGCAACAGGACGCGGCATGCGCGGACGTTTTGTTGCTTCGTCGACCAAAGCGCAAGCGGATCTAGCTAGACCGGAAACAAAACAACAGGCACGTCGCACACACTCGTTTGGGCTTGCGAGCCGGCCAAATAGTTGGTTAACGTTACGTTTTTGAGTGGATGACGAGTGCGAGACGCCGAAATGGATGCCAATAAGATTCTGAATGGAAAGTTTACTTTTAAAAAGTTGCCAAATGGTCCCATTGACAAGACCAGAGTGATCTGTGTGTTTTGTCGTTGTGAACTGCGCTATCATCATCGCAACACGTCCAGTCTGAAATACCACTTGATGATGGCCAAGCACACACACACACACAGCTGATGCGAATTCTCCGCCCCCTCGTCAATATCAGGACCTCGTCAGTATTTCTTTCACCCTTTTATTGATGGCCAGTGTTACATTGTGTGACAGAGATTATTTTCTCCAAGTGAGAATGTTAGTGTGAAATTGAACAGTATATGCCAATGTTGTTTTCAATAAAAAACATTTGCACAAAGCAAGCCGATCCACTTTTCCATGTTGATAAGAGCATTAAAATGAGAAAAAATAATGGGACAAAAAGAAATCAAGAGACATTTAGAATAGATAAAAATGTGCGATTAATTGCGATTAATCACGATTAAATATTTTAATCGTTTGACAGCACTAGTAATTACAATTACTGGGTAATAGGTACTAACCCTGAACCTACCCCTAACCCATGTACTTACCTTATATTAGCCAGTACTTTCTAGGTAAGTACACTGTAAGTACACGTAAGTACTGTACTGTAAAAGGAAGCGTTACCCATTAATGTATAACTTTTATTTAGCAAGGATTACAATTATTAAAATATAAAGCTATTAAAAGTTTTTTTTTATTTTGTTACAAAAATGTCAACAAAGAATACTAAAAAATGCATCATGGTTTCCACAAAATATTAAGCAGCACAACTGTTTTCAACAATGATAATAATAAGAAATGTTTCTTGAACAGCAAATCATCATATCAGAATGATTTCTGAAGGATCATGTGACACTGAAGACTGGAGTAATGATGCTGAAAATTCTGCTTTGATCACTGGAATAAATTATATCTAAAAAAGAAAAAAAAATTAAATGAATGTTTCACAATATTACAATTTTTTACTGTGTTTTATTAAATAAACGCAGCTTTGGTGAATACAAGCATTTAACATAATCGCACCGACCCCAAACTTTTGAACGGTAATGTATATATTATTAAATTATGATAAATTTTTCAGATCCACGAAGTGAAAAGTCCTATGAAACAAGCAAAGATGGACAAAAATAAAAACCTCGACTGTGACAAGGTGAGCAGTTTTATTTTTAATGCACATGTGCTAAATTTCATTAAAGTCATATAGCGTATTCATGGCCTATCGCTGTAATATTAATGCACTTTTATAAGTTGAATTGTACGAAAACATTTGTGCGTGGCTGTGCGCTAAACAATTTTAATACCGTTTTATTTCACCACTTGATTTCCAAGAAAGCATTAACAGCTGAAAAGCCCTGCAGTTCAGGACACCACAACACACATGGCACATCTTAGACACGTCACATTCAGTGACGACGTGATTGATCAATCTGAAACGTGTCTCCTCTTTTATTGATGAATCTAACATCTCGTTCCGCAGGCGTACTTGGATGAGCTGGTTGAGCTTCACAGAAGACTAATGGCACTGAGGGAAAGGCACATATTACAGCAGGTAATGAATGAGGAGCATGTCCTGTCAGAAGTCAGCTTTCCTAAATCACTCACTCCTACACGAAGAGACCTATGCATCTGAAACGCAGTGATATATTCCTTTAGCGCAGAAGGACCTTTATGAGGGAACATGAGAAGGGACACTTAAAAACTCCCTCTCGGTGTTCAAGGGTCACTGGGAGCTTTACCTGAAAGTTTAGAAACCTGTAAAGTTTAAAGTTATTACCCTCAGCATTAACATGTTAATGAATATCTGGATGTAATAAATCATACTGGTAAACTAGGTTTTCTCTTCCCTTCAAGTGCTTGCCAAGTCAACTCTTTGCGGCCCATAATTCCTGTTCTTTGAGGCCTATTTGCTTTGACACAATGGAGAGTAATACTTCTCTCTTTCCAAGGATTTGCTGTGCCCTTCTGTTGCAAAGCCTGTGGTGGTTTAAGTCTGGAAGACGTCCCAAATGAGGTCCAAACGGTGCAAACGTACATCTTAATCACGCTAATCCTGCAGAGTTTTGTGCAATAATCCTCCTCCTCCGCAATGTATCCCAAGATATGGCATTGATTAACTTCCATGATTATCCCTTAACGAAAACTGGAAAATTCGTTGATGTCATTGGCAAGCTTTATTCTTTGTTATCCTGTCAAGATTAATTCTTCATTGCGGGACATCTATGATATATAATATATATGGGTAAAAAAAGTGTTTGTTTTTTTTAAACGCACACACATATATATTAAAAAAAAATATAAAAAAACGTTAAAAAAAAATAATATATATATATATATATATATATATATATAAATGATTACATTTATTTGACATTTTATCAATTAAATATATATACACACACACACTATATATATATATATATATATATATATATATATATATATTACACATATATTTAAAATTTTAAATGATTACATTTATTTGACATTTTATAAGTTAAATATATATACACACACACACACTATATATATATATATATATATATATATATATATATATACACACACATATTTAAAAATATAAATGATTACATTTATTTGACATTTTATAAGTTAAATATATACACACACACACACACTATATATATATATATACACATATATTTAAAAATATAAATGATTACATTTATTTAACATTTTATAAATTAAATATATATACACACACACTATATATATATATATTTATATATATATACATTTATTTTAAATGTTATAAATTATATATATTTAATTGTATACACATATTTAAAAATATAAATGTTTATCAATTATATATATACATCATACACACACACATAGGCTAATTATATATATTTTGTATATTTCTCACACACACGCACATTACTTTTACATTACATTTAACCATTTAGCAGACGCTTTTATCCAAAGCGACTTACAAATGAGAACAATAGAAGCTATGTGCGTGTGTGTTTGTGTAGAGTATATATACGTATGTGTGTGTGTGTATGTATAGCTATAATATATATTTAATATATAACTAACATATTGTATAAAATTATATTATAATAAAATATATCTATCTGAATAATTTCAAATGTAGTTTATTTTTTTATTTTTTTTATACTAAATTTTATCAGCAACAACTTTCACAATAGCCTTTTGTTGTCTCCTTAAACTTCTTAAATTTTAAACAATGGCAGCACATCCTCGTTTTTTAGTCCAGGCTACAGGCGTACGGACAGCTGACTTCTATCTTCAGTGTCATAACAGGCCTCTAGGTCTCACTGTGCTTCTGGCCCACGTTCAGGAGAAACTGAAGAAATCCCTTCCATATGCGGCTTTTGCTTTGTAGTGTGAAACGGATCAGGTTTGGGTCCCATTAGGGTCCAGTTTAATCCAGGCGGCCGCTCTGCAAACCCCCCTCTCTTTGTAATCACAGTCCAACCCCCTTCTGAACCAGCGAGGACTGGAACCAATAACAGGCTGCCTTGGTAAAGCGTCGTCTTCATTACAATCAGACACAAGAAATCCTCGATGTCAATGGAGCTTTGTAGAAGATTCATAGGCGAAAGAACAGGGACGGCCACGTATTATTGAGAAATGCGGCTTCTGAATGACTCGTTTTGGGGCTAATTCTGCAAAGTAACAACATTAAACTAGATTTTTGTGCTTTCTAAAGAAAAGTGATGCTTAAAACAGTTTTATATTTGGTGCTTAGCCCTCTGATGATAATACATGCTTCTCTCTTTTTCTCTCAGATTGTAAACCTCATAGAAGAAACGGGACACTTTCACATCACAAACACAACTTTTGACTTTGACCTCTGCTCTCTGGACAAAACCACAGTTCGGAAGCTGCAAAGCTACCTGGAGACTTCTGGATCGTCTTGAAGACTTGTGCAGCTGGCTGCCACCAGGAGGAGAATCACACCTCCCCTTTCTCCTTCTTTTGTTTTTCCCTTCTAAATAGGAACTTGTAAGGCAATGGAAGGATCCGCTTTCATTCCAGAGCTCGTCTCTCGAAAACGCCTCAGAAACCGACAACATTGTTACATGAGTCTGGAGATTCTTCACCCAAAAAGCCTTGATAATCTGACATTGCCAAAAAAAAAAAAAAAAATCACATTTGTGTATATTGTTACTTGCGTATGAATGTTTGATAGGTTCTTTGTGATGAATGCATGTTTCAACACTGCCTTACCACATTGTCTATTTATTGAGTATGAGTTTCAAGTTTGTGTGTGTGTGTAAGTGCAAATGATATTAAACTTGTGCAAGCACTTGGGAACATCACCATCTCATTGGCAATGAAACATCTCATAATGCTAAACATGAACAGGATTTTCATTCAGTTTCCATGGATCAGAAGCAAAATTTTCATGCTGTACTGTACATCATGTAAAATGAACGGTGTCATAATGCTGGACGGAGACGACTTTTAGACCTGGTATTCAATGAATTGCACATTGTCTGCAATTTATTGCTGAGCAGTAAAATGTTGCCCTGTTGAATAATTGATAATATTATAATGGTTTTCATCGCACCATTGGAAAGAAGACCGGATCTTAAGCGAATCCGTTGACCTCTACCCAAAATGTTTCTTACAGTCGTTTCAGTTGGGAAATGTATTGTTGAATCTTCTAATGTTATTTATTGTTTTTGGGGACCACCGTTCTGGGGCTGTTCATTGGTTGTCCCAATTGTAGCTTGGGAGTGCTTTGTTAAACTGAGGAAATCAACAAGTAATCAAAGTTTTTTTTTCAGTTCCATTGTATGAAGACTTTTCTTTTTTGGATGTGATAGAGGCCAATATGAGCAGATCGTGCAGTCGAGCTGTAGCCCTCGAGCTCTGCTTTGTGCAAAAGCAACCGCATTCCCTTTTCATTACCTTATAATGTTGAATCAGATGAGCAGGCCAGAAATATAGATCATTTGGGAGTCGGAGTGGGTTCATGCTGAATAATTGGCACTGTGTGAAGTGTTTTATTTTGATTTGATTTGATTGTTTTTGCTGAATGAAAATCATGCCTTGTACACTTTGTTTCCCAGATTCATTTTCTCAGCCCAACGAGCTTTTAGTTTAGTTATCATTATATAATGTTTATATGTGTATATAAACTTTATATGTGATTTAAAAAAAAACAAAAAGATATCTGTCCTTTCTTGGAAGGCCCTGACCTGCTTCCAGTTGAAAGTTCCCGATCATAATATAAATTCAAAACAGAGCCGTTGTGGATGTGGTTACTGACCAGTGAACATTTTATCAATAATGAAACGTATTTTTAGCTGGTGAATATAGCTACAAACATCTGAATTTACTTAAAGGGTTAGTTCACCCAAAAATGAAAATGATGTCATTAATGACTCACCCTCATGTCGTTCCAAGCCCGTAAGACCTCCGTTCATCTTCGGGACACAGTTTAAGATATTTTAGATTTAGTCTGAGAGTTTTCTGTCCCTCCATTGAAAATGTATGTACGCTATACTGTCCTTGTCCAGAAAGGAAATAAAGACATCATCAAAGTAGTCCATGTGACATCAGTGGGTTAGTTCGAATGTTTTGAAGCATCGAAAATACATTTTGGTCCAAAAATAACAAAAACTACGACTTTATTCAGCATTGTATTGTCTTTCGGTTCTGTTGTCGATACGCGTTCAGTGACGCTGCTGACGTAAGACGCTGCTGACGTGTATCTGGTGTGTCCGTGTATTCGGGTTCAAATAAATATGGCTGGGCAAAAAAATGCACGTCTTCCTCTGTGTCGAAATCCTTAGACATGTTTGCGAAGATTGTTTTGTTTCCAGCGTGGGTCTCCCTCAGACTGTGAACGAAGCTCGGGTGCACCGTCAGCAGCGTCACTGAACGCGGATCCAGAACAGAACCGGAAGACAATACAATGCTTAATAAAGTCGTAGTTTTTGTTATTTTTGGACCAAAATGTATTTTCGATGCTTCAAAACATTCTAACTAACCCACTGATGTCACATGGACTACTTTGATGATGTCTTTATTTCCTTTCTGGACAAGGACAGTATAGCGTACATACATTTTCAATGGAGGGACAGAAAACTCTCGGACTAAATCTAAAATATCTTAAACTGTGTTCCGAAGATGAACGGAGGTCTTACGGGCTTGGGACGACATGAGGGCGAGTCATTAATGACATCATTTTCATTTTTGGGTGAACTAACCCTTTAAATATTAGTCCAGTGGTTCCCAAATGCCCACATAAAGACACTCTCAGACATGACCTTGCTGGAAACATTGTAATTTAAAGGTAGGGTAGGCAATTTCGGAGCGGCTAGCAATAGCAAGCTAGCTCCCTTTGAAAGCATGAGATCCCGCCCCTTCAGAGAGTCTCAAAAACCAAGCCGCCTTCGAAACACATGAATGCACACAGCCAGAGCAGAGTCTGCAAAGTGTCATGAGAGACCGCGTTAAACTACCTTGTGTCTCAAAGCACATAAAACACGTCATCGCTGTTTGCAAACACCTAAATGGTCTCTACTATATACATTCATAAACACTTTATGAAATATGTGATGGTGCATGGCATCAACCCGTAACTGATGCCTCCAGGCCATTCTTAAAATTTTCAACAATAATAATAATCGACACAAAGATAACTTACCTTGGCTTATGTAAATCAGCAGAATTCATAAGTTCACACCGTAGATAATGCCTCTAAAACAGACATTCCTTGTTTATAGCCGTGAAAAGTGACAAATGTGGAATTTTAAGACCGTTATTTGAGGAGTTCAGCGTCTGGTTAATTCAGGAAGAAGTGATCATAAATGCTTCAAATGACTGTATGCTAAACTCGGCCGTTCGGACTCTACAAAGCCTCTGTTGTTCAGCGATTCACTGAGGCTGAGGGACGGGAAGTGTGAGCACATCTCTAACAGGCTTACGGATAAGCCACTTCACTTAACACCATTCCACTAAATTCATGGGAGAGCAGCTGGCTCAACTGCACTGAACGCCAGCCCAACTACAGTTGCTCCAAAAGCTTATGGGTTTGAGATGTGAGCAAACGTAATGTTTATCTCAGCGTATTATTCGTAATTCATTAACGAGAGGTTTTTAGAGTACAAGTCATCTCCATTATATGGGCAGTTTGTTAGATAGATAGATAGATAGATAGATAGATAGATAGATAGATAGATAGATAGATAGATAGATAGATAGATAGATAGATAGATAGATAGATAGATAGATAGATAGATAGATAGATAGATAGATAGATAGATAGAGATACATTTTTGGTGGCATACAGTAATTTATGTTATTGCATTGTTTCCAAATTGGACAAATATACTACTAGAACATGCAGTATTTGTAAATGCAGACTGATCTCATGAAATGGCGTATGTATGACACGCCAATTCGTATTTCCATTTTTGGCGTGCTATCAACACGCATAATCGCTTTTCAGCGTGTTTATCAACGCCTTTGACTTAACGTTATATTACTGTATTATGTATATATACATATATGACCTACCCCAACCCCGTCCCTAAACCTACCCGTCACTGGGGTTAATACCATTTATGAGTCTTCTCCTACCATCCTAGCTAGGAAAAGAAATATCGCTCCACAGATGTAGATATTGCTTCGTTTCGCTCGGACATTTAACGGCGTACACATACACGCGGAATCACTCGGACGTTTAATGGCGTAGACATACACGCAAAAGATTTCGGCGTGGACATACACGCGGATAGCTCAAAATGCGTATAACACGCCACTTGAATTGAAAGTGGCGTGTGTGTTTACGCAAAGTCATGATGTCATGTTGCAGAATGAGTCATTTTATCCTTTGATATAATTGTTTAATCTGAAGTCTTTGATGCATTCAGCATAATTTTAGTGGTCATTCTGTAATTTAATGGCCCAGAATTACCTATAAAACCTGGTTCTGAATCTGTGAAAAGTATTTATGACAATATAATTCAATACAATACCCTGATGTTGCATGACAAATTGGATTATTTGTTGGATCTACAGATCTGGAGTGGGAAACTGCCCATGAGAACTAAAGACGTGTGTGTGTGTGTGTGTGTGTGTGTGTGTGTGTGAGAGAGAGAGATCGGGTGGGGGTTCTTTATAATCCATGTCATGCTGTCCCTCCCACCCAACACCTGTTCATTACTTCATAAATCTGAGGCATGAGCCAATTAAGACAACCACAGCAACTTACATACCAGAGCTTTGATGGGTTTGGCCACAAAAAAAGTACGAGGGAAAAAAAAATGTCCCAAGCGACATTTTGAGACAGACAGCTTTTCTTTTGGCACCATCTGGTAACACACAGCAAAGTTATTCACTCTCTGAAAGCCTTTTCAGCCCAAAATCATTTTCCTGTTAAACCTAATTCCATTATAATTAAAATAGATGGCTTTTACATTATGATCTCAGATCGTGTTCATTTAATATGAGAAGTTTGTTTTTTTTCCAACTGTGGATCCTCACCAAACGCTGGACTTTATATAAACCCTGCTCGCGTTTACGGAGGACACGCTTGGAGACAGTCTCGCACGACGGGTCGTCTGTCTGTGTTTGAGACGCACCAGAAGGAAATCATTGTGTCCTCCTCTTCTTTTCCTGAAGCCTTCTAAATGACGAAGAACAAGGGGTTGGGAAAAAAAACGGCACTACTTTCAGGATCCTGGATTAACTTAAGCCATTTCACAGTGTTGGGTGGGGGTTCACAGTCAGGACGAGCAGCGGGACGTCCTGTTTGAGCTTCTAAATACCATTTCCTCCTATAAGAAAGAGATGAGACCATAGAAACCAGCAACCAGAGAAAACATGGCAGTACATTTGTCATCTTCCTGGCACAAGGCCGAGGACCGGAGAAAAGATGAAGCAGAGCTTTAGAAATGCAGTTAAAATGGCATACACTATGGAATTAAAGGGAAGGTCGGTGAAAAGTCCTTAAATTCAGCGCTTTAAATGTCCAAATTTCCATTTCAAAAGTCAGAAATTGAATCAAGCACAAATGTTGTGTGCTATTCACATTTGATCTCCTCAATTTAAGAGGAATTTGAATGAAAAAAAATTATATAGTATATATATTAGTGCTGTCAAATCGAATAATCGTGATTAATCACAT